AGTAGCTTTTTTGTCTTGATCATCTCTGCAACTCTGCTGTGCTTAACACAGTGTCCGGCACACAGTAAATATTTAAAAGTTATTACTTTTAAATAATCTCAAGAAGAATAATCTCAAGAAATATTAAAGTATCTCCAAATCCAAAATAGGAACCATGCCTATTACCCTATCACGGGGAATGCAATGACTCTGTAGAACTTATGTACGGGAATCACTGAATGAGGTGAAATCTGCTGATTGAATGATATCCACCCCCCAAAAAGACATCCAAATCCCTAGAATGCATGAATATGACTTATTGGAGAAAATGTAACTAGTAAGGGATTGAAGATAGGAACAGCTTGGCTTACCCAGTGGACCTTAAATCCAAAGAAAAGGTCATCACGTGAGACACAAGGGAAACAGAGAACCAAGAAGATCCAGCCGTGTGAAGATGAGACCAAGGTTGCCAAGCCCCGAGAATCGCAGGCAGAGGCGAGAGTCTCTCCCTGGAGCCTTTGGGGAGCAGGGCGAGCTCCTTTTGGGGAGCTCTCCCTGCCAAAGCTCTGATTTGTGCTACTTCCGGCCTTCAGATCTATGAGAAATGGAGGAACTTGGGTCCCAGACAAATCTGTGCTACTGGAAGCCACCAAATTGCGGGTGATTTGTTATACCAGATCTCAGCAATGAAAGCACTGATCCTGGGAGCCACACATCACCTATCACAAGAAGCCTGATATCACCTCCACCGGTGAGTTCTGTACATAATAAATTCTACAGTCATCTGTATTCCTCATGACAGAGTAACAGGCAGGGTACCTACCTTGTATCTCGAGGTACTTCTAAGGTGTATTGTAATTATTCTTCAGGTTTTTTTTAAAAACCCTAAACCCTAAATCAACCAACCCTAAATCTTATCGCACTCTAAAGGTGAACCTGAAAGATCAGAGAAGTTACGCAGCTCATCCAGGTTCTCTTGCAAACAGGAAGCAGAGCCCCAGGCAATGGCCATGACTGCTGGGCAGGGCTCACTCTGAACACCAAAGGGCCTGGGTCAGGAAGATCCTGGGAGAGGACTGAGCGCTCTCCCGGCAGGGCAGACCACTGAGTCAGAGACAAAGATGCCCTTGTGTTCACCGCCAGCATCCAGCGTTCAGCTGGACCTTCTCAGGCTGGCACATAAAGAGCAAGGAAGACAATGAAAAAGGAAACAGGAATGGAGATTCCAAGGGTCTGTGGAAGGGGGATGGGTGGGGTCCATTTAAAGGACTTGGAGCAAGCACCCAAAGCTTCTGCTCCTGGGAAAGCAGAGCGTCCTCCTGTGTGCCCTGGGCAGTCAGCTCTGCCTGCTGTGGTTTTGGACTCAGACAGAAAGGAGTCTCAGCTGTGCATTGTTGCTTAGATCAGTGTCACCTTCAGTGAGTGAGTTTCAAGGCTCTCCGAGGGTGGTTGCAAGACTCACACGAAGGTCACGGCACCGTCTAGACATTCTGAACCCACAGTCTGGAGCCAAGCCAGTTGATTCCCACACCGTAGTGCACTTGCTGTGGACCCTGGGGAGTTTACCTCTCTATGACTCAGTTTGCAGGTCTGAAAGTGGACGTGCTGCCTGCCCCGGGGGCTATAGTGATGGTTAGCATGGGCTGACCACTACACAGCCCTTAGGATGGCAGCTGGCAGAATAGTACTGCAAGAGCATTTTCTAGATTAAAAATGAACAGGAAGATGTACCTGTAGCAGGGGAGGATTTTCCTCACCTCCTCAAACAAAGCAACTTTTAACTGACTCAGAATTTGGTTTCAATGCAAAAACAGATTTTGGTTGCATCACCACACAACCAAGGCAGTTTTAACAGAGCCAAGTTTGCTTCTCTGCAGGATGCACCGCTCTGAAGAGTTGGCGGGGTTGCCAGTCTGTTCATCCGCCAGAGGCACAGTTTGATGAGGACAGAGAGACCCCGGGGGGTTTCCCTGACGAGCCAGCAATCAGAGCTGTCTGTTCCCGTGCTGAGCCATTGCGACACTGAAGGCAAACTGAGGGGTGCACACACGTCAAGCCCCTGGCACACAACCTCAGGACAGGTGTTGAGTGATCCCTTCCCGCTTCCGCATGCCTCCGCTCTGAAGGGATTAGGATTATTCCAGGCCTGGAACCAGCATCCCCAGACAGGGGCACGTGCCTCGTTGACTCACATCTAATTCCTCTGGCTCACGTCAGCTGACCTCTGAGTTCTTTCATTCCTCCTGACAAAAAATATTAATAACAATAATGCCACACACTAAGTATGTGTCAGGCTCTTCGCTGCGAGGTGCCGGGAACACGGAGATGAGCTCATGGAGAAAGGAGGTTAACAAATAGAACATGACAAATCCCGCTGGGTGGGAGCTCAGAGGAGACGACTGGGTTGAGCTGGAGGCAGAGAAGTAAATGCGGAACAAGTGCAGAGCATTTGCTGTGTGCTGAGCACAGCTCCTTCATTCAACCCTACACTCTCTGAGGTGGGTGATGTGTCTCCAACGCGGTCAGGGCAAATGAAGAGACTCAGTAACCAGCCTGACGTCACACACCTCACGGGAAGTGAAATCAGTTTGCATCCAGGAAACAGGGTTCCAGAGCTGTGCTCTCTGGTGTCACACCGCCTCTCAGATGGGGCCAAGGCGTTGCTCACTTTGAGGTCTCCAAGTCCTTCACCTCTAGAAAATATCCAGATCTACCCTCAATTCCAAAGCTGCGTTCTGGGCAGGAGAGATGAGCCCACCTCTCTCCCACAGGCCTTGCTGCCCAGGTCACGGCTACACAGGGCGAAAGCTCAGAGGACAGCGTCTTCACTGAACCACTGTTGTTCTCACCCAATGAATCGAGTTCCCCTGAACAGGCCTTGTGCCTTCCGTCACGTCCACGCTCACCGACTTAGAGATGAGAACTCCAGCTTCCATTTCACAGACAAGGCCAGTGGAGGCTGGGAGGACCAGGGCCTTCTTTAAATCACACAGGAAATAAGAGCGCTCTACACAGCGTGCCTTTTTCATTGTGCCACGCTGGTCATGGAATCACTAAGAGAAAAATCAACCCCAGAAGCCAGGGAATTGAGTTTGCATAAAAGAGCCCCAAACTGAGGATGAGAAGTAATAAGTAGCAACAGTGATAATGAGACAGGTAATGTTTACTAAGCTCTTAGCAACTCCACACTGAACACATTAGCTCATGTAATCCTCTTAACACCACTATGACACAGGTCCTTGTTAATCCCTGCTTTACAAATAAAGAAAATGAAGCACAGGTGGTACAGGTTTTCCTATTTTGTGAGTGGTACAGCAGGAATTCAAATCCAGGCAAGTTTGAATCCAGAAACCACATTCTCAATTCCTCTTTCCCTTACGGCTAGAACCAAGGCATTCAAACAGACCTTGCCGCCACAGATGCTCTTAGACAACAAGCTTGACTGCTCTGAAATTTGTCTTCCTCAACCATAAATGTAAGACTGTGTTAATCAGTTTTCTGTTACTGTAGCAAAATACCTGAAGTTGGGCACTTTATACAGAAGAGTAGTATTTAGCTCACAGTTTGGAGGTGGAAGTTCCCAGATAAGGCAACTCCAACAATGTGGCCTCTGGTGAGGGCCCCCTGTGCTGCATCAAATCATTCTGGGTGACATCCTGGTCATGCAAGAGAGAGAAGTCACTGTTGGACACTGGAAGCCAGAGGGGTTCGAGGCCAGGCTCACTCTTTTTATAACAACTCCTTCTCAGGGAAATCAATGCACCAAGAGAGAGCATGAATCCTGCCAGAGGCAGTGGCCCCCGGTGACCCATCTCCCTCACACTAGGAGGGCCACCACACTGGGCCCACGCTTCCAGCACTTGACAGACCTTAGAATACATGCTCAAACCATCCCCAAGCCACAGCAGAAACCAGCAGCACCTTCCAAGGTGGCAACAGGGGTGGCTGGATTAGGGTCGTTGCAGTTAAGAGCTGTGAAAAGTTCTCAAGTGCTTCTAATATACAGTCAGTGCTGGCTCCATTCATTAGGCCTGTGTAGCCTCAGACTTCTCCCTCTGTAATGTGCCATGAGTCCCTCGCTTCAGAAGCAGCATCGCAAAGCAGCCCATGAATCTGCGTTTCTAACAAAGCCAGCTCCTCGGCACCCTCTCCCCTCCTCGACTCCCCCAAGATGGGGAGCACACTGAGTACCAAGGTAGCACCTCAGGGCAGTGACTTGGATTATCTTTTAATGCCCAGTCCCTGGAGAGTTTCAAATAAGGGACCTGCGCTGCTCAGCTTCCCATGCCTGTGACAACATACTTGAGTGAACAATTTAGAAGGGAGAAATACTTCTTTTGGTTCACGTTTCCACCCATGGCCACTTAGCCTTGTCACTCTGGGCCGCAGAGGACAAGTGTCACTGCGGAGCAGACCTGCTCACACCATGATGGGATCTGGGAAGCAAAAAGAGAGCGTGAGGAGGAGGCTGGGGTCCCCAGATGCCCTCAAAGGGCATGCCCCAGTGACCTGCTTCCTCCAGCTGGGCATCACCTCCTCAAGTCTCCATGACTGTAAGGCCCAAAGCATATGAGGAGTGCGGTGCCCCATGCTAAGGCGGAGAAGTCAGTCTGGCTACTCTCCAAAGGGGAGGAATGGTGGGGAGCCCCATGAGGTGAGAAGCCTGACTTGTCTTCAGGCCCAGAGACCACATGGAGGACTGCCAAGCACCCTTCCAAGCAGGGATATATGTGGGGGCCAGGCACCACTGTGGTGTAGGAAGCCACAACTCCTAGAAGAGGTTGTTTTGACCCTCCATGAGCTCAGCAAGTCCACAAAAGGGCCAGGACAGTGGGCTCCTCCTGAGTTCGCCTCCCCTGCCTCCAGAGAAGGACGCTGGCTCTGGCTATTGAATAGAGAGCTTCCTCTGCCAGAATGGTGAGAGGCTCGGCTGGGTACAGTGGGGAGTGGAGCCTCTTGGGAAGCCAGGAGGTGGGGAAGAACAGATATTTCCTGCGTCCCATCATCTGCCCGAGTCTAGCACCATGCTGCAGTGTACCTCGCCCCTCTTTCGTGTGCCCAGATAAGGGCTCAAGAGAAAGGGCAACAGCAGCTCCTAGAGCCCCTGCGCAGGCTGTCTCTGGGCTCTTCTTCCCTCTCTCCCAGCTGGGGGCACAAGCCCTGGAAGCGGACAGACAAGATAACAGGAACGGCATGGGTGAGTCAATGGACATAGCACTGTCAGCAGAGCTCAGAGGCCCCATGGAGGGCTCCGGGCTGCATTTGAAGGAAGGATGAGACTTTGAATAGGGGTGCACCAGAGGAGTTTGCTTTGTCTTCCTTATCCAGGGTACAGAGAGTATTTTGCAAGGGGCTTTCTTTCACTGGGTCCTTAGGGCTGCCCAAGTCCTACAGGCCCAGAGTTTACAGGTGGGAGGCCTGGGCTAGAACCAGGGCCCAAGGAGAGATGGATGCCTCCTGAAACTGCCCTGGTGACTGCAAAGATGTGACCCCTCCCTGGTCTTCACTGCTGTTCTTCTCCAGAGAACAGGGCAACATCTCATTTCCTCCTTCGAAACTGAAAGGTTTCTGCTCTAGGATAAATTACTGAATGTTATGGCGGTGGTCTAACATGGCGGAAGGCCAGAGCAAAAGGACAGCTGGTCTCTGATGACCTCTTCCTCCTCCTTCCTCCTCAACCCTGATTACAACTTCCTCTGTCCTTTCCCACATGAAGACATTTCCACTCAGTTCCTCAGGCATCATCAACACCCGCCTCCAACACTGTCTCTGGGCAGAGGTCATAAAACCACCCACCATGCTCGTCCCTGGTCAGAGGAGAAGCCCAATCCCAAGAGCTGTGTGCTCCTCTCCCAATAAAGGCTTCTTTTTCTTTCCTTCTGCTTCTCTATGTACCAGAAAACCCTAAAAAACATTGCATCAAAATTAATTTGGAGTAACTCTATAAAATGAGATCCAAGAATTACTTAAATAGCTACTTCCTTCCCTGGGATGCATGGGAGGTGATAGACAACTTGCTGACGCTGAGGGATGGGTGCATGGGCTCACTAAGCCACTCTATTTCTTTGTGTATTACATCTCCATAATGGATCCTTTTGCTGTTGTCACTTTTAACCATTTGGGCTCAACCACCCCTCACCCACCTTTAATCTCCTAGAGCACCCAAGCCAACTGGAAAGGTTTAAAACCCCACATTTCTTCACATATCTCAGTTTCCCCAGAAGCCTGGCCATCCCTAGATAAAGCAGGCATTGGCTTCCTGTGTTCCCTGGGCGCTTTCCAGATCTGCCTCAGCTGTGACCTCGCTCTACACGACGCTGTGTTTGTGTAGCAAGCTGGGGTGACCCAGATAGCATGGTGATTAGAGCAGAGATCCTAGAACCCCCATGTCGAGATTTGAATGGGAATGTCACATAGATAACCTTTGACAACTCATTTAATGTCTCTAGACCACAGTTACCTGATCTGCTCATTGAAAAACTGCAATGATAACACTTTATGGGCTTATTGCAAGGATTCAATGACCATATTTGTAAACTTTATAAAATAGTACTTGGCATACGGTGTTACAAGAGTAACATCAAATAAGGAAACCATCCCAGTTCATAACTGAGCTGTGCTTAACAAGAAATAACCCATTACCCCCACTTCCCAGCATTCCTAGCAATTACGTCAGGCTACGTGACCAGTTCTGGTGGATTAAGAGTAGAAATGACAAGAGTCATGTCCAGGCTGAGGCAGCTTGAGGCTGAGGCACCTGCTTCAGTGACCCCCAAAGTTGTGTATTCCAGATGATGTCACGAAGAAATTAAAGAGAACTCAATCTTCATTACAGTTTAACAAAGTAAGGCATAAACAATTGTATGAAACCGCTGAGATGTTTACGATTCATTTTGTTACTGTAATAGAGCTAAGCCGAGCGTAAGTAATACATATTAGTAGCCTTTGAGACCATAAAGAATAGCTATACCTCTTTCCCATTCCCACTGCAAGTCATGTGACTTTGCAATCTTTTCTTTGTCTTGTTTTGCTTTTAGTGTTCATATATCATGTCGAATTTCTTTATCATCCCAACTGATGTCTTCACACGCCTCCCATCTCATGAATCTTCTCCAAGTCTATGTCTACAGCATTATCCCCCAGGTGAGTCTGATGGGAGACAGAAGCAGCCCATCCCCCTCTCAGTCCCATGGACAGGAATACACCCTGGGGTCACATCCGGTAGGTATGGGAAGGGTAGGCCAGATCCTGTTGATATAGATGGAGTTTCCTGGGGTTCCTATGATCCAAACCCTAATGTGCATCCCAGCTGCCTCTGCTAAACACGTCTTCTCAGTGGTTTTTGTAAAATTGACTTTTAATGGAGACCAAGAGACCCCCCTACATTTTCCGCTAGGATGGCTTCCAGTTGAAGAGAACGGGACAACCTGGAAGGAGCAGCAGGAAACTGGCACAGCCACCACAGTTCAGTGCTTCTTGCGGTTGACAGTGTTGGGCTCTCAGGGGAATCTGGAGAAAGGTGGCTCCGTGTAAGTTGTAAATATGGTGACTTCTTTCCAAGCTAAAAGTCAGACTACAGATCTGAATGAAAATATTGGGCCATTTCCATGAGGAGCAGTCTGGGACTAATTTGAATGCTAAAACTGGAGACCCTGAGGACTCCTAGATGGTCCTGGGCAGAGATGAAAACTCTGTGGCCAGAGGGTTGCAGGACCATCTAGAGCGTGGGGTCATCACTGAGGTATCTCCTCAGAGACCAAGGACGCAGACCCACTGCTATCAGGACCATGAGAGCTGACGGCCACAGGATTTGTGCACAGGCAGAGAAAAAAGAAATTGAGTGTGGGGCTCTCGGCTCCTGTTGTACCTTCCTCACTGGTGAAGCCGGAGCAGGTCCCTCCATTTCTGAGCTATGAACCACCATGAAGCATTGGCATGAGGGTTAGAAAGCAGAGAGTCTCCAGGCTCTCAGGACAAGGAGGGCAATTTATCACCCCTCTCCCCACACTGGGCATGAGGTACCTCTCCCGCCAGGTAGCACCACTGCTAGGTAGTACGTAGAAGAATTATCTGTAGACATTAAAATATTCACTTTACTTAATTGAATCAGAATAAGCTCTAGGATGGGAACGTGCCTGGGAGCTGTGGCTTATGCCGTATATTAGAATCACTAGAGAGCTTTCATAAAACAAATCCCAGTGGCTCCCCTCCTTCCAGGATTCTGATTCAAGCAATGTGGGTGACTAGAATGTGAATGACCACCCCATTCCCACTGATGTCCACCCAAGGAGGGCCCACCCACGCGGGCCCCCTGGGTTAGGGTGCTGGAGCTTGCTTGGTCCCTCTGCCCCACAGACATCTAGGCCTGGAAGTCCTGCCTTGAAGGTCAGGTGGCTTGGCCACTCGTCACCTGACATCCCATCCTCCCTTTGAGAAAAATAAGGATCTGACAGATTCTATGGGGAGTGCACAGTTCCCCAAGATCGGAGCCCCCACTTGGTCAGGAGATGATTTATGTCCATTACAACAAAGAGAAGGGAATGAATAATGAAGTGGTTTTCAGGGTCTTTACATTTTGCGGTAAATCATGAGACTTTTCACGCTTGGTAATTTACAATAAATCTGTCAGAAAATTAGACAAAACCAAACTCCCAGAGCTCCAAATGAAAAAGAAGAAATAGTAATTGAATGTCATTGTTGTCAGTTGCCTCAAGTACAAAAGAAGGAGGCAGGTCACCTTGTCCCCAGGCAAGCAGTGACCGGGCAGTGTCCCAGGAACTGGATCATAAGGAAGCTTCTCTTTGTCGCCTTCTCCTGAGGAGGGCGGGTGGGAATGGGGGAAGGAGCTCGCTGTTTAAACTGTTTGAAACACTCCCAAGAAAGAAATTCGTTGGCAGAGAGTTAAGAAGGCAGTACAGACGCGGTCACAACACTGCCTTGGGAGGACTGTGGAAAGCTCTTGTTTGGAAATGATTTGCTCACACACACTCTTTGATTTCAGAATGTTTCACCTGCCAACTGCTTAAAGTTTTCTTTTGTGTTACTCTACTTGTGTGTGTTGCATGTGCGTGTGCTGTGTGTGGATGGGTGTGTAATTAATTAAAAGTTAGAAGGGGAAAAAAGGGATCACCTCTGTTCTGTGGCCAATGATTTCCCTGCAGCACCTGCAGAGGGGAGAGAAGGCAATTAAGATATGAAAAGTGAAGGTCTCATGAAGCAGTCAGGCTCTAGGCGGATCCAGAGGGAGACGCAGAGACTTAAAATCTGTTCAGTACAACAGTGAGCATCCAGCCTTCCTGAGGCCACCAACGTGGTAGCATTTCTGCGCTTGCCATCTGAAAACATGGGGAACGTGGAGGAGTGGAGACACAGACAGAGAGAGTGAGATTGTCCCTAGCACTTCCAGGGCAGGACAGGATGTGGTTATGATTTCACTAAGGAGCCAAGGCAGAATGGTGGAATCTGTGGAACATTCTGGAAACCATTCAGCCCTGCAAGGCAGATGCATATCTCCTTGCTATTTTTTGTGTGCTCCTTTGACCTTCATTCATGTAACAACATCTCTATGTCCTGGCACACGTGTGTGTTTCAAGAACGAGAAAGAGGTAGAAAATAAAACCGGTTCCCACTGCTGCTTAAAAGATGCCTTCAGTTTCATGATGGCATTTAGCCAGCAGAACACCAGCACTGGCTGCCCACACACAAGGCTGCCCTCTCTCTCAAACAGTGCTTTCAGGTTTCAGACAACCCCAGTCTCTGCCACAGGCTCGCACATTCCCAGCTCAACTCCCCAGCTTGACTTAATAAGCCATCTCGCATTTCTGTGCCTCAGTTTCCCTGTCAGTGAAGGTGGTGGTGCTGCTCTACTCCCCTCCAGGGGCTGCTGTAAGAATCAAGTTTGCCTGAGCACAAGGCAGAGACCTACCAGGCTGCGCACACTGCGGACGAGGTCAGGGGAGGTGAGCAGGTGAGCAGGTGCCTGTCCTGCTCCTGTCCTGTTCCTTGTCTAGGTGCAGAGACAGGAGGAGAAGAGGAGACAGAAAAAGCCACCAATGACAAGGATCACAAGCTGGGCGGGGCCACTGGTCATTCATAGCACAGAAAAGGCCCATGGCCGTTTCCTCCAGTTGAGAGTACCTCACTTGAAAGGGCAATCTTGGACAAGGAGACTCACTTCTTTTAATTTATTACTGTTGAGCATTATTTGCCACTTATTTCCAGCATTTTCATGCCTCTTGCTTACATTAAGGATGAGTGTTGCATGCAAAATATCAAAGGAACAAGTAGATTAGAATGGGTGGAGACAGCAGCGGCTGATAACCAAGACTCCCCACGAGACTGTTATATCTTACCTCCCCACCTGGGTGCTCCTGAGCCACACAGACAGGGCATTGCTCACTCACCCAGCACACCCTCTGGCCCATGGGAAAAGGGAGGTACCCTTTCCTCCGAGATGCTCTCCCAAGACGTTGCAGCAATCGTTCCGACGCAGGAGGAGAGCAGCTCATGTTTACTAAGTGTTATAACTAGGTACTCGGCTTAATCCTCACAATTATCCTATGCAATAAAAATCATTGCTCCCATTTTATAGACCAGACAGCTCAAGGTCTCAGGGATAAGGTGATTGACTGCCTAAGATCACAGCACTAATGAGCAGAGTGACTAGAGCTTGGAGGGAGGCCTGTGTCAGAGCACCAAGTAACAAGAGCTGTGAACAGTGCGGAGGACATTACAGCCGGTGGGGAGCTTTCAGTCCCGCAAGGGGGTCATACAAGTCCAGTCGACATGAAGTAGAAGTAGAGCACAAAAAGCAGTAATATACGAGCAGGAACTCTAACCCCAGCCCCGGGATTCAGGGCATCATCAAAAGAAGTTGTGTGAAGGGGACCAGCAAGAGGGATGGAACCATGGCGGGGAGCACAGTGAGAAGGGGGAGCAGGGAGAGGACCAGGAGCCTCAGCAAAGACCTGGGAGTCCCAGAGCACCTGAAAGATGGTCCAGTCAGGAGGGTGCTGACCACATCCCCTCCCAACTACAGTCCTTCCTTTGCACAATAAACCGGCCTTTTAGCAAAGCTCACCAAGCAAAGCTCAGAGCACCTGTGTCCTCTGTCAAGTCCAAGTGCTTCTTGTAGGGACACACATGGGCCACATCTTCCCTTTCTCACCCCCAGACCAGATCCTTTGTCACACTGCCCTCTGCTCATCCCTGGATTCTGGGCATTGTACCCTCACCCCGGCTGATGCAGGGGTCCCTCACACATTGTGGCTCCTGTCAGGAAACACACGTACCCACCAGTACACACACCTGTGTTTCACAGAGGCTGTGCCATCCTGGAATCAGGAACACTTATTTTGTTCCCCAGAACCAAACAGCTCTCTGCATGTAGAAGGTGATAAACAAATATAAGCGGGATAGTTGACCGAGTAACAAACAGTAGGAAGAGATGCGAAGGGAGGGAGAAAAGGAAACTTGGGACCAGATTCTGAGCTGGGGAAGAGGGCAGGGCTTGAAACACAAAGTTCCTCAGTCCAGGGTTTATTCAGTGGACAATGCTGGGGCTCGGGTGGGTTTGGAAGAGGGCAGCAAAGTGCTCCACTCATCAGGTCTCGGGGCAGTGGATGTGGAGAGAGAGCAGGACTGGGATCAGGGAGCCTCCTCGGAGCTTCAGTGATGGTGTGGAGCACTGAGCAGGTGCACCAGCTGCTCGCTGAACCCTCTACAAACCGGCCCAGCGGGAAGAAAGCAGGCCAGGCTGCCACAGAAGTCGCTGGGCACTGCTGCTAAGCATTAGCAGCTCCAGACACGTGTGGGAGGAGCAGAAACAGGCTTGCTGAGCCCTAAAGTCCCAAGGGTGACTGCAGCACACAAGAGCACCCTTGGCAAACACCCACTACGTGACCACGGGCCCTCTGCAAGACCCCCGCTGACAGCCTGGCAGAGCCTTTGCCTGCAGAAGCTCTCACTGCCAACTGCCGAGGGCTCCTGGGAATCTGTAGATTATGGGCTGTGGGAATCCTGGGCCATAAAACTTTCACCCCGCTACTTAAGCACCTGGCTGAGCAATTAAGGAGGGTGCTCCCCAGCACATCAAAAGACTCTGGGAGGCGATCTCCAGAAGCTGCCTGCTCCCTGGGAGGCAGCAGGAGTCAGGTCTCATTATCCTCATTTGACGGAGGAGAAAAGTAGGTTCCCTGGTGACTAAGTCCCTTGCCTGGAGTCAAACAGCCAACAAAGGGTGGGACCCAAAATAGCATCAGTCACTGAGTCCCAGGCTCCACCACACCAGAGCTCCTGTCCCACGGCAGTGACCGTCCCTGGGAATGTCAGGGCATGGGGTGGTCCCCAGCAGTTCCCCTGGCCACAGAACACCCAGACCATCACGAGCCCCAGCCCGCTAGTGCAACCACCTTGTGACAGCTGGGACACTCACACAGCTACAGAGATGGCGGCACTGAGCAAAACCAATGCCATCTTGAATAGCCTGTCGCTGAGCAGTAAACACCTTCCTTTGCAAAAAGGAAGAGGACGTCCCACCCTGACAACCCAGAGGGTCTCGGTCACTAATGGCAGAGACTATAGAAGAAAGCCACTGATGTCCGCCTCGGGATCACAAGTCCGCAGGCTACCAAGCCACGCCAACTACTGTCCCTTGGACAGAAGAGCATCGAACCACACTGCCTGAGGCTCACTCAGATCAGTCAAGATGTTCTACACTTCCAGGGCCCAGCATCCTTTCCCACCACCATGGACTGTGACTCTCAGTTTGGCCTGCAGTCTCCCCACTATAAAGTAACCCCTCACGTTGCTTGGGACGTGATACTCTAAGACGCTCGACTTTATGTGAACACTTTGCTGCTGTGTTCTTCAGAAACATTCAATAAACTGCACAAATCACAAAGTAACCCAAGTGTGTGCGTCTCTGTTAGGACGAGCTCCGAGCCCTTCTGGCTTGCTCATGATGTGGTCGAGTTTGTGATTCCCATGGGAGTCCTTCCTTTTGTTTCCCAAGTCCTGTCACTATCGCCTGCTCATCATGGGCCCAGAACTTAACAGATTAAGGACAGCCCACAAAGAGAGCCCAAAGGCTGGTACTTAGAGGCAGGTGTCATGTGCATATCTAGTCCTGGCATCTCAGGGCTCGTTCTCTGAGTCTTCTAGAACTCAAAGAGCAGATCACCCACTTGCCCAGGTAAGCCCTGGTCACTCCGTGTGCTAGGAAAGGTGTGTCCCGCTACTGCTGTTCTCTGTGGATCTCATGGCTGTTCTTACGTATCAACATTCTTCCCTCATCCCACAAGTCACCGGCAGTTTGGTGACAGCTCCCTGCCCTCTTGTACCTTTTTACTCTAAGCCAGGCCAGGAAGATACCACTTCCAAGCGTTACTCTCAACTAACAAAGGACAAGAAATCATACGTAAACACCCAGGTTGTCTCACTCCTAAATAGGGCAGTCCTGACACGGTCCTTTCAGGGGTCCTCACAGGGACCCCGTCAGGTCCCAGTGCCCCTGGTGGCAGCTGACTCAGGCTCATCCCCCTTACACATGGCTCCTCTCTTCCCCTCACTCACTTCTACACCCGTCCTGGAGCATTCCAAGGTCACCTTCAAACTAACCGATGGCACTCAAGTCTCTACCTTGGGTCTGCTTTTGGGACGATCTAGACCAAGACAAGTGTCCAGTAAAAGTAGCTTTTGCATTTAAAGGTGCAAAATAAATAATGTAATGATTATTATATTAGACAGACATTGACACTGGCATACAATAGGGAACAAGAT